AAACTAATTTGACTGTGTTGCAGATTGTACTTCTGAAATAGTCTCATGTATTGTTTCTATATCCCAAAATGCTTGCCACTAAATTATTCCTCTTCGATTCAACACTGAAACATAGAGAAGATCATTTAAAAGAGCTCATGTGATGTATAGAACTAACTTTATAAATCTAGATTGGGCATCCTTCACTGTAAAAAGTAAATTATAGTAGCAACTTCAGTGTGTGGGAATTTTATTTTAACAAAGCTATCTCAAAATCACAGCTCTGTAGTAATTGTTCAGTTTTTCCTTCATATCCTTGGGATATATTGTACAAAGTTTTACTTTTATCACAGGACACTAAACCCTTAGAAACAATTTGAAATTGAATATAGATCTCTGGGCCCGAGACCGCAGAGAAATTTTTCTCCCCTGCTGAGTTATCCAACCATTTAAAAATCTTATTTTCTTTGATTGTTGTTAGGAATGTTGGCTTGGCACAGTCATTTTACAAACAACTTTTGATGTTTATTGAAAACTCCCAAGCATGAATTTCAACAAGTTAACAAAGGGTCCTAAATTTTCCCATCAAACCCTAAGTATCAGCTGATGCGTTCAAGCTATTACATGTTCTCTTGCCTATCTTTTTATATCACACCAACTTTCAATTAACCATTGTGGGTTCTGACCACATTTGCTAGGAAATAACTATTTAAATATGCCTTCCCCTAACACATTTCTAATGGGATTCCCCTGGCAAAGGTAGATGGGATTTTAAAAACTGGAGCCGTACTAGAAACAGAATTGTTTTTGGTAATTGCTGATGAGTTCCTTGGCTAGCATATATGCAGTTAACAAGACAATTCTAAGAATGGATGGCAGAAAAGAAGGGTGAAAAATGGTCGTCTGGCAAAAACAGGCTGTCCGGCTTCAGCAGGAGTTTTTTTCTACTTAGTTGCCTTTCTCTACTGTTTTCTTCTTACTGTTTCAATGCTGAGATTCTGCCAAGAATATGAATTAAATACAATATGAAAGGAAAAGGAACACATAAAGATAAAACTTCCAAAAATGACATTACAGGGAAGAATAAAGTTTTCTTTCTTCCTTAAAAACTTTATCTGAAATACTATCTTCAAATAAAAGCCATGGAGTTTCATATCCCATTATCTTAAAATAACACTCTAGGTAACAGCTCATATTTATGGGCATACCTCGTTTTATTGTGCTTTGCTTTATTGTACTTCACGGATTTTGTTTATTTGTTTGTTTGTTTGTTTACAAATGGAAGGTTTATGGCAACCCTGCATCCAGCAAGACTTTTGGCAACATTTTTCCAGCAGCCTGTGCTCATTTCATGCCTCTGTGTCATATTTTGGTAATTCTCACAATATTTCACACTTTTAAGGTATTATTATTATCTGTTATGGTGATCTGTAATCAGTGATCTTTGATGTTAATATTGTAATTGTTTTGAAGTGCCATGAACCACTCCCACAGAAGACAGTGGACCTAATCAATAAATGTGTGTGTGTGTGTGTGTGTGTGTGTGTGTTTCTGACTGCCCCACTGACCAGCATTCCCCCATCTCTCGTCCTCTTATTGAGCCTCCCTATTCTTGGGAACACAATATTGAAATTAGGCCAATTAGTAACCCTATAATGGCATCTAAGTGTTCAAGTGAAAGGAAGAGTCGCACGCCTCTCACTTTAAATAAAAACTAGAAATGATTAAGCTTAATGAGGAAGGCTTGCCAAAAGCTGAGACAGGCTGAAAGCTAGGCCTCTTATGACAGTTAGCCAAGTTGTAAATGCAAAGGAAAAGTTCTTGAAGGAAGTTAAAAGTGCTACTCCAGTGAACTCATGAATTATAAAGTGAAACAGCCTTATTGCTAATATGGAGAAAGTTTAAGTGGTCTGAACAGAAGATCAAACCAGCTACAACATTCCCTTAAGCCAAAGCCTAATGCAGGGCAAGGCCCTAACTCTCTTCAATTTTATGAAAGCTGAGAGAGGTAAGGAAGCTGCCAAAGAAAAGTCTGAAGCTAGCAGAGGTTGGATCACAAGGTGTAAGGAAAGAGTTTGCTTTGTACCATAAAAGTACAACGTGAAGGAGCAAGTGCTGATGTAGAAGTCGCAGCAAGTTATCCAGAAGATCTAGCTAAGGTCATTAATAAAAGTAACTATAATAAACAACAGATTATCAATATACACAAAACAGACTCATATAGGAAGAAGATGCCATTTGGAATTCACAGAGAAGAGGAGCCAATGCTTGGCTTCAAAGGAGAGGCTGACTCTCTCGTTAGGGGCTAATGCACTGGGTGACTTTACATTGAAGCCAGTGCTCACTTACCATTCCACAAACACTAGGGCTCCTAAGAATTGTGCTAAATTTTCTCAGGGTATTGATAAAGGAAAAAAAAAAGAATTTTGCTGAACCTACTTTACATGTACTCTAGAAACAGAACAACAAAGGCTGAATGACCACATATCTGTTCACAGCATGGTTTACTGAATATTTTAAGCCACTGTTAAGAACTACAGCTCAGAAAAAAGATGTCTTTCAAAATATTATTGCTCATTGACAATTCACCTAGTCACCCAAGAACTCTGATGTACAACGATACCGTTTTCATACCTGCTAACACAATATCCATCTGCAGCCCACGGAAGGAAGAGTAATTTCAACTTTCAAGTCTTATTATTTAAGAAATACATTTTGTAAGGCTATAGATGCCATGGATAGTGATTCCTCCGATGGATCTGGACAAATTAAAAACTTTCCATAAAAACTCACCAATCAGAAAGCTATTTGTCACCCATGAGAAGAGTCCAAAATATCAACATTAACAGGAGTTTGAAAGAAGTTGACTCCAACTCTCATGGATGACTTTGAGGGGTTCAAGACTTCATGGGAGAAAGTAACCACAGACGTGGTAGAAATAGCAAGAACACTGGAATTAGAAGTGGACCCTAAGATGTGACTGAATTGCTGTAATCTCATGATAAAACTTGAACAGGTGAGAGCAAAGAATAGTTTCTTTAGATGGAATCTAATCTTGGAGAAGATGCTGGAAACACTGTTGAAATGGCAACAAAGGATTTAGAAGATTTCATAAACTTAGTTGATGAAGCAGCAGCAGAGTTTGAGAGGATTGGTTCCAATTTTGATAGCAATAAAGTATTTCTAAATTAAAGTATATACATTTTTACACATAAGGCTATTGCACACTTAATAGCCCACAGTAAAATGTAAATATAACTTTTATATTGGAGGAAACCATAAATTTGTGTGACTTGTTTTATTTGCAATAGTTGTTGTCTGGAACTGAACCTACAATATCTTCAAGGTATACCTGTATTGAGCTATTACTAAGTGCCAGACACTGTGCTAAATGCTTTATATGTATTACTTTATCTAATCCACATAGAAACCCTATGAAGAAGGTATTTTTATTACCTTCATTATGAAGATAAGAAGCAGGTCTAAAGGACATTGATGTATGGACATTCATCACCCTGATTTAGTCATTTTAGACCTTTTACTGGAAGGGCTCTGAGACTCCAAATGCACCTGTTATTTTTCCACCTAGTGAATATTAGCACCTATAAGTGTAATCAGAATGAGGAAGGAGGTTGCTTATAGTATTTTTCAACTTTTAAAACAGTTTCTTCAGTAAGTCTGCTTCTAGGCATATACCCTAGAGAAACTCTCCTGCATGAGCAAGACGATACATGTATGCTCATTTACATAGCATTCAAAATGAATAAACTAAATTTCCATGTATCAACATAGGTAGATCTTGAAAACAGTGTTGAGTTTTGCTGCTGTTGTTGTTGTTGAAAAAAGAAAGGCTCTAAAATGATGCATTCAGTATAAAATCATTTAGGTAACATTTTGCTTAGTAAAAACTATTTAAAACATAAAACAATAGAATATGTTATTTGTGAATTTGTACTTATGTTATAAAAGTATAAAAATGTGAACCAGATAGGCCAGGCACAGTGGCTCACACTTGTAATCCCAGCACTTTGAGAGGCCAAGGCAGTTGGATTACCTGAGGTCAGAAGTTTGAGACCAGCCTGTCCAACATGATGAAACCCTGTCTCTACTAAAAATACAAAAATTTTGTATTTTTACAGGCAGGTGCCTGTAGTCCCAGCTACTGGGGAGGCTGAGGCAGGAGAATTGCTTGAACCCAGGAGGCAGAAGTTGCAGTGAGCCAAGACTATACCATTGCACTCCAGCCTGGGCAACAAGAGCGAAACTCCATCTCAAAAAAAAAAAAAAAAAGGCTGACTGCAGTGGCTCATGCCTATAATCCCAGCATTTTGGGAGGCTCGGGCGGGTGGATCATCTGAGGTCAGGAGTTCGAGACCAGCCTGGTCAACATAGTGAAACCTCGTCTCTACTAAAAATACAAAAATTAGCCTGGTGTAATCCTAGCTACTCGGGAGGCTGGGGCAGGATAATCACTTGAACCCGGGAGGCAGAGGTTGCGATGAGATGAGATTGCGCCATTGCACTCCAGCCTGGGTGACAGAGTGAGACTCTGTCTCAGAAAACAAAAAGTGAACCAGATAGTTAAAACTTCAGGATAACAGTTACCTGAGGGAAGAAAGGAATGGTGCTGTAGGGGAAAGTGCAAAGTAGGCCTCAACTCCATTTCTATGTCTCATTTCTCTTGTTTTAAATAATAATATGAATATGAGAAAATTTAACATTTATTCTTACAGGGTCTACATGGATGTATTACCTTATTTTCTGAAAGCTTTTGTATTTAAAAAAATACTTCCATCCTAAGAAAAATATATATTCTTGCTGAAAAAGAGCTGGAATCACCACATAAAACATAATCTCACTAAAATTTTAGGTTACAAAATTTTTTTGAAGCAGGTTTAACAATAAGCCCAATTTATCCATAAAGTAACTTACTAAGCCATCCATAGAATGCCTGTCTTTGAGTCTTGGAAATTCAATGTGTCCTCCAAAACAAACTAGTTGTAAAATATATTCCCCAGTAATTTGATTATGGTGAATTTCTTTATTCAGCTTTACATTAGCTGCAAACCACAGGGGCTAGTCCCTACAACCTCTCACCACATTATCCAGGGCAGCAGGAAGAACAATTGCCTGGGGATTGCTCTGGGCTGCATGCTTCTTGCCACAATTCCTCCTTGTGGGTCACTGTTATCATCTGGACTGTGCATTCCCAAATCTGATTCCTCCAGCCATCACTATTCCTCTCCCTTTCTCCATTTCCAACAGCATAGGATTTCACTTTGAGGGTAAACAACCATGAATGCTATCAAATTAGGCTACGTAAATCTGGGAGTGAGTGTTCTTTGTTGCATTATTGGGTATCAAGGCTCTGGGTCATATCTAAAAGTACTCCAGCTTAAAAATTAATTTAATCTCTTGTTTGTTTGCTTTTGTTTGCAATCATTTCACTTGCTAGATAATAATGTAATTGAGTAATGCTAATGCCAGCATTATTTGAAGTGCTACTCATTGCTTACAATTATATTTCATAAGTGTGGAAATTATTTTGTCTATACATTTAAATATAATCCAGTTATATAACAATCAGTACCCATTTTTTTGTGGGCATGTATTCATACCCTTTTTTTTATATTTGCCTTGTTTCAAAATTGATAAAAAGACGGGCTACAAATATACATAAAATAAAGCACCAGAAAAATTCAGTCTGAAGGCATAAAGAAATGGGGACACAGAATGTAAGCCAAGAGTGAGTTAAATATATAAAATACATCCTGTTAAATATTATACACAGACCGGAAGGAGACCACATATAAGGCTCTAAGCTTTCTCACAGCCAAGGGAAATACTGTCAGTTCCACAATCGGGTTTCCAGAAGACAAAAACAAATGGGGCTAATAAACAAGGGAAACACAACTATACCAGGTGCTAAAACCAAAGAAAAATATTTTCCAGATATTGTTAGAGAGAATAAATATAGCAACAATTTCATGGCTCCTAGAAATCCCTTAATGAGGCCTGAAGTATTATACCACAATGGGTTGTTTAAGAAAATCTCAGGGGAGGACAGAGCCATGGCATGGAGGCAGGGGCAGAGGGTGAGGAGGGATAGTCTAGGCCTTATCCAGGGTCTAAAATGTCACAACAGTTGCCCTTGACATGAGGTTCATTACCAGGGTGACCATGTAATTTATTGTCCAACCCAGGACCCTTTGAGAATGAAAGAGGGTACTATTAATAATCAGGCCCCCACAACAGGTGTAAGGTATGACTGTCCTGAGCAAACTGCCACATATGGTCACTCTAAGTCATTGCTCATCACCTGCTGGCATCCTGCCCCAGCATATCCTGCCACTATAGACCTGGTGAGCCAACCTCATCCTGTCAAACATGGAGTGAGTCTAGCTCAATTTGGAGGGGGCTCTGGGGGATTCTAGTCCAGGTCATCAGCACGGTGTGGGCTTGCCTGTGAGTCAGTCAGACAGGGAAGGGAACCAAGAAAGACTGGAGTAGGCAAATGGGAACAGTTGCCTGAGGATCCATCAAGAAGAGGTTTGGGCATATGTCAGGAGAATGGGTGAAAGGGGAAATAAATAAGATTCTAAGTAATTGCATAGGTTCCATGAAGAGGAATGAAACAATTTCCTTTCCCCCTGGCACTCTCTCAAGGGCCCTGTGAGAGATCTAGTGGAAGAAAACTTCCTAAAGTTGGGATATTATCATAATGGCTGAAACACTTATGCTGTGGTTCTCAAATACGCGATATGAATTACCAGGAGAGTTTCGAAAACTAGATTCTAGCACCCCAACCCCACTGATAATGATTCTATTAGTCTGAGATGAAACTCAGAAATCTATTTTAACAAGCGAGATTAGTCAGGCATGGTGGCACATACCTGTAGTCCCAGCTACTCAGGAGGCTGAGGTGGAAGGATCGCTTGAGCCCAGGAGGTCAAGGTGTGATCACACTGCACCACTGCACTCCCACCTGGGCAACAGAGTGAGACTGTACCTGAAAAAAAAAAAAAAAGAAATTGGACCAATTACTCTGCTGGGAAAGAAACTGAACCAATTCGGAAATCAGTATATTTAGTCACATGGGACAACGAGGAGAGTCAAGAAGTAGGACATTCCAATGATCAATTGTACCACATGAGAATCTCCCAAGTCTTCCTGGACAAGGCCCAAGACTGCCTTCCCTAGCCAGGCAAAATAATGGTGGAGGAAGCTCCCAAGCTCCCATTCATTCCTAGTTGCATTTTTTTTCCCAGTGAAACATAAGGCCAAGCTTCTTGCCTCCGATGTCCTGAAGAAGAATTAATGGTACCCTGTCCTGTGTTTATATCATATGTACTTTATTGGCCCTTATATTAGAGTGATTATATATCTATATACAAATATATATTTTTTCTTTTTGGACATAGAGGCTTGCTCTGTCACCCAGGCTGGAGTGCAGTGGTGTGATCTTGGCTCATTACAACCCTACACCTCCCAGGCTCAAGTGATCCTTTCACCTTAGCCTCATGAGTAGCTAGGACTACAGGCGTGAGCCACCACGCCAGGCGAATTTTTATATTTTTTGTAGAGATGGGTTTTGTCATATTGCCTAGGCTCAAATGATCTGCCTGCCTCAGCCTCCCAAAATGATGGGATTATAGGCGTGTGCAACCACGCCAGCTTAGCGTGATTCTCTCTGTGTTAGTTTCCAAGGCAAGTTTACAAGCTGCTCAAGGGCAGTGACAATACCATATTGGTGTCTCGAAGCATCTAGGGTAGGCGTGTCATGTGCATCACTAAGCTTCTTTGCCTGCTTCCTTCTTCTCTCCCTAGGTGTCAGGCATTAAGCTCTCTGCCTTCAAAGTTTAGTGGGAAAGGCCTATAAATAATGAAGTGCTTTATACAGAAAATTATAGAGGTAAGCATAGTTGCTGTGGAGCTAGAGAACATGAACTTGATTTAGCCTGTCAGGACCAGTGAGAGTTGATAAACATGACCCAGGCAGAGGAGAAGCGAGAGGGCATTCTAGGCACAGTACCATCTACAAAGCTAGATAGCACCTACGAAGAGAAAGAGTTAGCAGGGTGTATGAAAGAAAGAAGAGAAGGAAGAGAAGAAAGGATGGGGGAATTTGTGGTACTGTGAGTAGCTTACTGTGGCTAAAGAAATGTTCACTTGGGCTGTGACACAGCAAAGGGGCTGAGGGTAGGGTTAAGAGAAGAGCACGAGCTCTGGAGCCAACCTGCTGGGTGGCCCAAATCCCAGCTCTGCCACTTAGCTATGTAACTTTCAGCAAATTACTCAAACTCTCGTGCCTCAGATCCTAATTTGGGACCTGTAGGGACTCTTTATGACAAACTAAGTGGCTTAATACCTATAAAGCAATTAGAATAGTGTCTGTCACATAGTATGTACTCAAAGAGTAGTTCTCGGCTGGGCATGGTGGCTCATGCCTGTAATCCTAGCACTTTGGAAGGCTGAGGTGGGCAGACCACTTGAGCCCAGGAGTTTGAGACCCACCTGAGCAACATGGCAAAACTTCATCTCTACAAAAAATACAAAAATTAGCCAGGCATGGTGGCATGTGCCTGAAGTCCCAGCTACTCAGGAGGCTGAGGTGGAAAGATTGCTTGAGCCCCGGTGGTGGGTTACAATGAGATGAGATTGAGCCATTGGGTGACAGTGAGACCCTGTCTCAAAAAATAAAAAAGATTTAAAAAGTTATCTTGCTCTTACTCACCACTTTTATTCCATTCCAGGCAAGTTCCACTGATTATACCTCTAAAACAAATACCAAAATCATCCACTTCTGTCTCCATACTCTCCACCCTGGTTCAAAGAACTAAGACATCTTTATTGGATTCCTGGAATAGCCTCTTAACTGGCCTCCCTACTTCCACTCTTGCTCTGCTTTAATCTCATCCACAGAACAGCATGAGTGATCGTTTTCAAAGACAAACCAGATGTCACGCTACTTAGACACCTATTGTCTCATCATACTTTACACCAATCATTTAGAATTCTCCTTACCATACCTAAAAAGGTATTAAATAATCTGGCTCCCTCCTACTTTTCTGACCATCCACCCCCCACACCCACGTCCTACTCCCCTCCCTTTTACTATGTTCAGCCTCTAGCTGCCTTGAATTTGACAAGTGTTTCTGGCTAAGACCTCTGCATCTGCTGCTCCTCTGTCCTCCTCACCTCTTAACTAGTTTGCCTCCTTCTTGTCTTACAGAACCCAGCTCAAATGTCAGAAGAATTGATGTTAGTTTGAGAGACAAAACTAAAGTTACAGCCTCTGGTTTCTGTTACTCTAGTAAATGTATTTCCTTTTCAATATTTTTTCTTCTTCATTCCTCACCCCGCTATGTAAGCACGATGCTAATGGATATATATGATTTTTCATTGCTTTAGTCTCATTGCCTGTAATGGCAAACACTCCATCCCCAACATAGTAAGCACTCAAATATTTATCGAATTGTTGTTAAATGAATTAGAAGAGAGGAGGGAAATAAAAGAAAATGCTGCCAAAATTAAGGCACTTGGGGCCAATTAGCCTTTTGTCATAGTGTAGTGAGAAATCATGAACCCTTAGCAGTGGTTTCCAACCTTGGTGTGCATTAGAATTACCTGAGAAGAGTTTTTGTTGTTGTTGTTTTTTAGATGGAGTCTTGCTCTATTGCCCAAGCTGGAGTTCAGTGGCACAACCTCGGCTCACTGCAACCTCTGCCTCCCGGGTTCAAGCGACTCATGTCTCAGCCTCCCAAGTAGCTGGGATTACAGACATGTGCCACCATGCCTAGCTCGTTTTTTGTATTTTTTGTAGATGTTGCCCAGCTTGGTCTCAAACTCCTGTCCTCAAGTGATCCACCCACCTCAGCCTCCCAAAGTGCTGGGATTAGTTTTCGAGCCACTGCACCCAGTTTTCTTTTATCTTTTCTTTCTCTTCCTCCCTTTCTTTTTCCCTTCCTTTGTTCTTTCTTGGGACAGGGTTTACACTCTGTCATCCAGGCTGGAGGGCAGTGGCATGACCAGGGCTCACTGGCACCTTTACCTCCTAAGGCTCTGCAGATGATCCTCCTGCCTCAGCTCCCTGGAGTATCTGGGACTACAGACATTGGCAACCATGCCAGGCTAATTTTTGTATTTTTGCCATCTTGCTCAGGCTGGTCTTGAACTCCTGGTCTCAAGTGATCCAACTACCTCCACTTCTGAGAGTGCTGGGACTACAGGTGTGAGCCACCATGCCCAGCACACCTGGGGAGTTTTAAAAAAACTGCTGACACCTGAGCACCACCCTCAGCGATTCTGATTTAATTGGTGGGTGCAGTGTGGACATAAGAATTTTTTAAACCTTCCCAGAGGATTCCAATATGCAGCCAAAGTTGAAAACACTGCTCTAAAGACAGAGAGAGATACGGAAGAGAGAGCACACGGATATTTCTGGGGAATAATAAACAGGACTTGGTGGTTAGTCATCAATTGGAAGGGACAGAAAGGATGGGGCTTGGGAAGACTCCTAGGTTTCTGGCTTGTGTCTGGGTGAGTGAAAGCAGCACACTTTGAGAAAAGAACAAACTACATCTTGGACAGCCTGAGTTTGAGATGCCTCTAGGAATTCAAGTTGGAGATGTTCAATAGGCATTTGTTTCTTAATAGATTTATTTGCCCTAGTGAAGAATAGAAAGTCTTCGTTTAGGAAGACAAGAAAGCCAGACCAGCATCTCTGGAAAATACAATTGTACAGAGTGTTAAGACCATTTGCATTCCGCACAGCTTCTTTATTCAAAACCCTCTTTCAAGCCAATGCTCCATCTGTGCTGAAATGTTGTTTAACATGTTGATATATTTTCAAGAAGGGTATGATGTATGAGTACTTAACTTACTATTCTTGTGCTATCTGTAGGCTTAAAGTATCCCATATGTAAAATCGCTGGCAGCCTTCAAGTAGCATTTAAAGGTATAACAGCTTTAAAACGTCCCATAAGGTAAAATAAACGTACCCATAATTACTTCCTTTAAGATTCGAGGTCAAAGACACTTAAACCTAAACTGCCTAGCTCGTTCAATTTTCCAGTTGGTAAACATTTACTGGGTTACCAAAGATACCAAGTGCATTCGGAAAGACCATGTCTTCTTGGTTTGTTTCTAATTTAAATTACACAGACACACTAAACAAGGACTGAGAGAGTGATATATTTAGTTAAGTAACAGATGGCAAATGGACATTCTGTCCAGCCTCTATCACATTCGTTTCTCAGTATTACACGGAAGAGTGATCTAAATCTTGAAGAGAAATAAACCAGGAGGAAATGCACCAGGCCCAGACTAAATTTGTTTATTCAACTAAAAAGAATTTATAACAAGACTAGTGTAGATTAAAACATTCAAAGGGTATATGACTGGCTGAAAAGATACGAGAGGAAGGAACAAATAAAGCTGGATTAAAGTAATTCGGAATGTATTAGAGATGAAATAGGAATTCTGATTATGTGACTGCAAAACAGCGCACACACACACACACACACACAGACAAAAAGAAACAACAGAGGTGGGTGGAAGATACTTTCCAAACCCTTACGTAGGCTTGCTATTGTGGCTAGGCACTGCTCCTAACAGCCTCTGCAAAGAGTGAGGTCCACTAAGACTAAGAGGGCGGCTGCAAACGCACGGGGTGCTGCCGCCCTCTCGGAAAGGATACTTCCTCGCCGAGAGCTGCAACATCCCGGCGCTTCTCTCCCTGGGCCCGCCGATCCAGCAGGTGAATCCTGAGAACACAAAGGGATGAATAATGCCCTGAGAACTGCCAAAAGCCAGGGTCGCCGAGTCCGGCAACTCCCTTCAATCAGGCGCAGCTCCAGCCACCCCGACCTGTCCTAGGAGGAGACGCTATCGGGTACACGGAGAGGCGGGCAGAGAGACACTGGCCCCAGCGCCCGGCGCACTCAGGGCGAAGTCCCCTGAGCCAGGCACAGTCTTTAGGGCCGCAGCCGGGGCCACTCGGGTGCAGCGGGGCGGCTCCCGCGCGGGCGCGGAACGAACGTGCGTGAGGCAACGACCTCGTCTAGAGCCGCCGGTAGTGGGCCCGGTGGGCGTGACGCCATGACGCAAAGCACTCGGGCGGCGCGCCGGGGCGGGGCGGCAGGGGGCGGGAGGAAGGAGTGGGAGGAGAAAGCGGGGAAAGCGGGGGCTGAGGGAGGGGGAGATGGCAGTTGCGGCGCTGGTTCCCGGGAGCAGCCGTCGAGTCACAACTGCGGAGGAGGAGTTCAGGAAAGCGGCCGTCAGGACCCCTCCCCTCCGTCGTCCCCGCCCCAGTACAGAGGCTCCTGGGCGCGTCGGAGGGACCCTACCCCGCGCTTCCTCAGGCTGCTGTCGCCGCTGCTGGAAGATGGGCCTGCTCGCCCTCTGCCCTGCGCCGCCGCTCTGAGGAGTTAAAGGTACGGGCGGGCACCGGAGGAGCTTGCGCCCCTGAGCGGGAGGGCAGGGGCAGCTCCCGCTTACGACCCGGGGAGCTCTGGCCGGGTCGCAGCCTTTGCGCCTATCTCTGGGACAGAAATGGATTCGGAAGTCGTGTGGCAAAGGCGCCCCCTCCCGTGTCCAATGTGGGCCGGGGGCCGGGGCCGGCTTAGGGGGTAAGGCCTCGGACTGCTCCAGGTCCCCTACCGGGCCCAGGCGCGGGCGTCTCCCGGGCAGCGGGGGCCGAGGCGGAGCGTGGGATCCGCCCCAAGCCCTGTCCTCCTGGCCCGGGCGTCTGCGGCCGGCTGCCTGCCCGGAGATATTGTGACGGGCCGAGGCGGCGCTTCCCTCGAGCTGTCCCCTGCGGCCCCTGAAGCGGGGAGACCCGAGGGCGTCTGCCGCGGGGAGGCGTCAGGGGCGGAACGCATTCCTGACGGGTGAAATCGGCTCTAACGGGACCGATTTCCGGGCCTCGCTGCAAATTCGGAGCCGGGACATCGCCCCAAAAGCCCTGCTGCCTGGGGCCCTAGGGAGGGGAGCTGTGTTCCGGGGAAGGTTCGTCCAGGACTGCTACCAGCTCCTTCAAAAGCAAAAATTACATACCACACCAAAATGGTGTAGTCTTGGGGTGAAGTATGTGTTAACGGGGGTCTTCCGGGATTGTCTCCCCATGCTAAGCCTTTAGGGTGTTGCCAGCCCTCGTCCAGCAAGTAATGCTGCTACTTTAAATTTTCAGTTTTTCCTCCCTGGGTTCCACTCTGGGTTGCTTTTTTTTTTTTTCTTTTTTTCTTTCTTTCTTTTTTTTTTCCCATTTCCATTAATGGGAAGAAGAAAAAGAGGTTTAGGGTTCATTAACCCCGCCACAAGGGCAGTAAATAAAAAGAAGGAAGAGTGGTTAAGGCTATATATGGGATAGAAAAAGGTTTGATTTTTTCCCATTGGCCCTTGGAAATATAAATACACGAACGATGCTTTACTCTGCTTAATGTTTACTATCCACAATGTTGCAGATTGTTCTGTTGGAATGACGTTAGAAAAGACAGTGTTTAAGTGCCGCTGCAATTTTCAAACCTAGGTGTTGGCTAGAAGTGCTAGTTTTAAGTGTTAGTAAACAGTGGAGGCATAAGCAGTCCCTTCCCTTGTTAGTAATCTTTACATTCCACCTTTTTTTTTTTTTTTAAAAGAACATGGCTGTCTTTTCATTATTTTTGTCTTTTCTTATTTTAACCTAGATTCGTTGACCCTTTTGGTTGTTTGAAGTCTGACCGTTTGCCTGAGTTTTATTTTCAGTTTTGCCATTCTGTTTATAATGCAAGCCATTACCGTATTTGCCTGTTCATGCTGCTTTAACGCTGACTGAACTGTCTGAATTGAGTTAAAATGTAAATACTTCTCTATTTAGAAAATGGCGATGATTGTATTTTCAAATGTTCTTTCCTTGCTATAGTTCCTTGATAAAGATTTAGAATTAAGTCTTGGGACTTAGTAAATCAAATTATGTCAAAAAAAAACAATTAAAATTTGTTAGTTTAATTCCTTGCTTCTTAATGTTCTGTTTAAATTACTATATACAATTTAACTGAAGTTTACATTTTATGTGTCCATGGAAAATATTTTAATGTCATCGCAAGGTGTCTTTTTGAGGAAAAAATTACAGCTGGCAACTAATGTTAATGTGTTTTTTTTTTCCACTATCTCAGCTTCCAGGAGATTTCAGTAAGGTTAATTTTTAAAACTGCAACGTTATTTTAGGAGTTGAAGCACAACCCAATTCTTAGTATCCAAATAGTGGCCACTGGAAATTTTGTTTTCTCATTTAGGGGATGTCTTAGTTGATCAGTAGACTTTATAAAGAACTGTCCATGTTGTCATCCAGCCAGTGTTGGGATTTATTTTTAAAATATTGTTGGCGATTTCTTGAGTTTTTGATGTATTTGGCTTGACTAAAACTATCATTTTCTACCTAACATATGGGAGGCACTAAGATTCTTATTTTTAAAGATACTTCATTCAAGAACATGGGCGAGTAAGTAAATAAAAATACTTAAGCCTCTTAGTGGAAAGTAAATACACTTCCCATATGTGAATGTAAGTAAAGTCATAAAGCAGTATTTTAGCATTTGAGAATGTGAGACACTTGGGTCACCTCTATTTTAATGAGGTTGGATTGAAGGATACTAACTGTTATGGGGTTGTTTAGAATTAAATATGGGTAATTAAAAGCAAAGTTTTTGTTTTAACCATTTTGAAATAATCACTTGTATATTATGAAAGGTTCTGATACCTGTTCCCCGCCCCGCCATAGTGGTGGTGGTGTTGCTGCTGCTGCAGCAGCAGTTTTTTATCTTGAACACTTACTTAGATTTATATAGGAATTTTTTGGTTTCAAATTATTTCTTCCCCTTCTCCAACACACATAGTTTGTTGTTGTTGTTTTTAATCTGCAGGGCACAGATGGTTGAGTTATGTAGTTTTCTGAAATTTCCAAGTGGGGAAAAGAAGGCAAAATATTTGTGATAACATGTAAAAGTCCCAAGTCAAGTGCTGGGCATAGAGTAAGCTGGAGACAAATTTTGTTATATTAATATTTACATCTGAATTGCTCACTTATATCTTCTCTACTCCAGTTATATAGGAAATCTTAAGGAGTTGATTTTTGTTTTTCTAATGTCATTAACAAGTGGAAATTGACTGTCAAATGCAGGCTGGTTTTGTACTGAGCTAATAAGCTTATGCTCTTTAAACATTCTTCACCAGGATAAAAATTAGGCCACTTTGGGCGAAAGGCCAAAGTAAAGTTGAATTTCTAAATTTATATTTGATTGCATATTGCATTGTATTTGGCAAACTAGCACATCATAGGGAAATAGTAGTTTAATTTAGATTGTCTGAAAGGATCCATGATTGTATATGGAGTAGTACTTCAGCTTAAAAGCTGGTTATCAAATGTTCATCCTACTACTTATTAGAATAGCTAAATTTTTCTTAGGAAATTTTTTTCTCCAACTAAGAGTAATTATGAATTTTCTTAAGTCATGCCAGTTCTTTGTTAGCAGACAGAAGATGCCTAACGTTGAAAACTTAACCATACCTGCACAGCTGAAGACTAAGGGATAGTATTTCTTTGCTAAACATGTCTGTATTTCAGATGGTGGTAGACTTCAAACAGTCAGTGAAGTCACTTTGGGTGTTTAAAACTTGTTTATTTCATTTGTTTCTCAAAAGCTATCATGTATCAGTGATTTTCTATATCAAAGTGGAAAAAAGTAACACTTTTTGATAAAGTAGGTTTTGCTTGCATTGCTCTGTGGCTGTCATTAACACCTGAAGAATTATTTTTATTAGTAACATTTTTTGAAAGATGCGCCATGAGGTTTAAAACCAGTGTATAGCCTTGTCCTATTGATGTTATCTAAAATTTTATTTTGTAAATCATTTACTAGGGAATTACTGTTAATTTTGTTTTAGGAGTCCTGTTTGGGAAGGTTTTGTTACATGAAACTCTCAATATGATGGAAGTGATTAGTGGTTTTAGCTCTCAAATAAGTTTGTGCATTGAATTCTGAAGCAAAATTCTTGCTCAGAAATCACCTTTGTTTAAGCCCAAAGGAAGCTTCTAAACTGAGTCTTTGGTCCAAAAAACTGGAGTTGGCCCCTTAAAATTATGTACACTTAACACTTTTAACTTCCGTCCTGTTGGGGAGACCCCTGAGGGTAAAAGTAGTACTTATGATTTGAATAGCAGGCAGGTTGCTAATTGAAGAGACTCTGGTAGAAGTGAGCCATAAGGAGGGAGCCAGAGTTGTTAAAAGGAAGGAGCAAGAAACCAGGAGAAGCTGTTGGGAATGTGATGATATTAGGCTTCCAGGTAAATATTGTATAGCATATTAATGTAAATGTTATGCCGGGCACGGTGGCTCAAACCTGTAATCCCAGCACTTTGGGAGGCCGAGGCGGGTGGATCACGAGGTCAAGAGATCGAGACCATCCTGGTCAACACGGTGAAACCCCGTCTCTACTAAAAATACAAAAAATTAGCTGGGCATGGTGGTGCATGCCTGTAATCCCAGCTACTCAGGAGGCTGAGGCAGGAGAATTGCCTGAACCCAGGAGGCGGAGGTTGCGGTGAGCCGAGATCGCGCCATTGCACTCCAGCCTGGGTAACGTGAGTGAAACTCTGTCTCAAAATATATATATATATAAATGTTGT